CATTGTCTAGTATGTGTCTGAACTGTATGGAAGTTTTGGTTCATCAGTAAATCAATGAATATATCTTTACTTTTGATCCTACGCGCAATTTCGGGAAAACCATTCAATTTATTACCGACATAAATGAAAATACAATTCTTAATTTGAAAGCACTCGAAATCATTGGAAAAAGGGTATACAAATATTTCATATCACTTATATTAACTTATGATCTTCATTTTATGCTTATCGAATTTCAACCAGGTGGCTAACGCCTTGAACTGTTGCCAAAATATAACTCCCCAACCTACACTCCCCCACCCCCGCTCACCCTTTGCACCACAATTGACAAAAATGATTAAGCGGTCGTTGAGGGAATAATAAACAAATATTTTTATTTGCAACGATTGCATTTAATGAATAATGCTCGCGTCACGCCCCCACTTAAAAGGGAGCTCAAATAGGTTGAGGGGAGGTGGGGTGGGTTGGGGTGGGGTGAATGCTTGCATTTAGGGGCGGAACTGGCGACACCGCGTCTGTTTCTGATGAAATTGTGAAACGAAATGAGCCAGAGCGAGAGAAAGACAGCGAGAGAGAGAGAGAGAGGAGAGTCTGGCAAATTGAAATTGCACGCAAAGAAGAAAGGGGTGGTGGGAGGTGGGGGGAAAGCTGCACTTTGGTGCAATTCCATTAGAATTTCGGATTGTTGTTGCAATCATTATTGCTGTTAGTGTTGTGTATTTGCCCCCGGTTGATTCATGTGGCATTCATTTGTAGTATTTTATTAGGTCATTCATGCGATCGATTTCATTCAAACGAATGATGTCATCTCTTCTCCACACAGATCTCTGGGATAAGATATAGCAATTACAACAAGTCATGGAAACGTTTGGTTGTCAACAATGTGGAAAACCAGTTGAGTAGTGTTGACTTGCGCCTGTTGTCATCCATCAAAATTCAACTATTAATGCATTACCATTGGCCGTTAATGACCAATTATTAATAGACGGCAATAAAATAAATTACCATAAGCAAAATCGATCATAAGCTAATAATGGCCATAAGACAGAATTGCAATAATAATTGTTTCGTGTCTTGAATTTAAATATATATAAGATCTGTGAATATTGAAGTAAGCCACACACATAAAACAATTATTCTTGTTTTCCCCTGCTTTTTTTATATTTCATTTCATTTGTTTTAGATTTTCATTTTAAGTGACTGCCTAAGGCTGTGCTACATAATTTGTGAACATTAATCGTAGACTTAAACCTCTTTCTTCGTCAAATAGTTAGAGAATATTTCGATTTTCGTTAAGTGTGTCTTCCATATATTGTTAAGAATGTGTGTGTCTGGGCTAACCAAAATATATTGCCAACATTTCTTTTTCTGTGGTTCGTGGTGTGTGTCTCTGCTAAGTCAACAGTTGGATGAAATGGAACGCATTTTTGTCATTTAATGAAGACGCTGTTTTAACGAATGAAATACATACATGTAAATACAAATTTAGATAAGTGGAAAGCTTCATATTTAGATATCACATTTAAAACAGCTTCAAACGTAGTCAAACGCAGTCAAACCACATCAATTGGCATTCAATCGGAAAGTTGAGAACCTGAACCTGTTTTAGATATTGGGAAAAAGAGCCAAATCTATTAATAAATCCCTATATACAAGATTAAATAATAATATCTGTTTGGCGATCAGTTATTCTCTTTGTATATTCAGATTCTATGTGCCCACAAATCTAACGCACCTGAAAATCTATAAGGATTTGGCCTAAGTGACATGAATCCATTATGCTTGAATGATATTCGATGGGATTAGTCCTTACAATTGTAACGCACCTTTGTCCTTTGAAAATCTGTACTAATTTGAGCGAGTTAGAGCTACTTGGCTATACCCTTAAAGATCTTATGTATTGTACATATTTTTGAGCTGGCAGTTACCAATCGATCCCATCTCAGATTAAAAGCAGTTTGCCAAGAAGTACATGCATTTGTCTAATAAACAATATTTTGACTTTTATTGACAATTTTTCGTGTTGTGTTTCGTTATCGATTGCCACTGAGTAAAAAATGAAAAAAAAACAAAACAAAAACAAAAAACAAACACTTTAATTGTTTGGTTTGGGGCTTCTGTGTTTTTCGATGAGATGCCAGTAGACGAGCGCCCAACCCTTGCATCAAAATGTAACTTGTCTGCCACATAATAATTGCTCAATAATAATATTTGCAGTACGTGCCCAAAACATACTCTGTGTAGAATTTAACTATTTGAAGTATTCGAAATAAATTACAAATTTGAGGTTTCATTATTGCTACAGGCATAACATTTGTTTCAAAAACCATACACGTTTCTTCATTTTTACTCATCATTTGTCATTTTCTTCGCTTTGTTTCATTTTGTATATTGGTTGTTGTTTTTTTTTTTGTTTTCAGGCATTTTTTGTGTGTGTGTGTGAGTGTTTTGTATTGACTGTACTCAGCATTTTGTTAGCTGTTTGTGCTGTCATTTGCTTTTGATTATTTTCTATTGTACAAATATACTAATTACTTTTTTGTTTTTTATTAATTGTTTTATTGGTGTTTCTTTTTTCCATTTCTTTTCTTTTCATTTCATTTCGTTTTTTTTTTTTTTGTCACATTGTCTATAGAAATATATATGTCTATATATATATATTTTGTATATGTATGCATATGTATTGTAGAATTGGCCAGCTTTACATCAGCTGAGGGACTGTGGCCCAATATGTGTACCTGAATGTACTTCTATGTACTCGTATGTACGCCTATGTATGTATGTATGTATGTATGTATGTGTGTGTGTGTGGATGAACGTATGTATTATGTATGTATTGATGTAATGTATGCTATGTACTTATATAGAGTATACAAATATAATTCGCACTTTAGGCCTACGTTATTGCTCTCTGTATACCACCTCATGGCTGTAATTGATTTATTTCCCCTGCGCTTCAATACTTGAATACATTGTGTGCTGGACCATTGAATTCTTTTATTCCACACCCAAATGGGACGAGTTGTAAAGTGTTTATATATATATATATATTTATATATATATATATTGTTTTTTTTTTGATATATGCTTGGTATACATGTTTCATATGTCTGCATGTGCTCCCTATATTGTTGTCTATATATATGTATATGTATATATACACATATTTATATGCATGTATATGTGTGTGTGTGTGTATGTGCGTGTATATATATACATATATATATATATATATATATGTATATAACACTTCCTACCGCTAACCTTTCTAAGCCAAACTTTTCATTTCGCTATGCCTTACACGATGTCTACTACGCTACACATATGCATACATAGCTTTGTGGCACATTGACACGCCTACTGCAGCTCCCTACTCGTACCTATGTATGTATGTACGTACGTATATATGTATGTGGTATATGCTTGCTACTTAGTAATTTCTTGGCACCCCAAATACAAACACAATGAAACGTGCAAAATCTAAATCAAGTCCAGAAATCTCCTAAATAGAGAAAAATAGAATTATTAATTAGACGACGAAATACAATTAAAGTGGCGTCCTCTAAAATTGTTCGCAAATGCACTTAATTTAGCAACACATTTAGTTTGTCTTCTTTAAGATAAATAAATACATTTAAATACCTATATATGCTCTTAGTTTTCAAAGTACAATTAATTGAAGCTTTTTCAATGGTATAAGGATCGATTATAATGGATTTTTTTTTATTATGTTCTTTTGATTTAATAATAAACAAAAAAAAATTCAGATAAAATAATAATATATATAATATATAGATAATACACATGTGCATATATGTATGTATATAGTTTTTTGTGTTTTTTCTCGTTTTTTATGTTTTTGTTTTTGTTTGTGTATGTGTGTGTGTGTGTGTGTGTTTGTGTGTGTGTTTGTGTGTGTGTTTGTGTGTGTGTTTGTGTGTGTGTATGTGTGTGAGTGTGTGTGTGTGTGTGTGTGTTTTAAATTAGGTGCATAAATTATATTGTATTTGGTATAAAACGAATGATTTTCAATTGCTTTCGAACTAAGAGCGCTAAGCATTAAAATTAAATAATATTTAAAAATAAGATTAAAGTACATTTTGTTAATGTATTTGACTTGTTGTTGTTGTTGTTTGTTTGTTTGTTTTGTTTTGTTTTTGTTTTTGTTTTTTGATATTACTGTTATTTAAACATTTGCTGTTTGTTAAGGATTTCTGTAACGCACACTTAAAGATAGTGCTATATTTATTGTATAAGTATGTATTATAGATAGCTTAAGATCTTACGAAAAATATGTAGTATATGTACTTAATTTGGTCTAAATTATAAAACTATAAATATTTTGTTGCAGAAATCAAATTTCCCAAAGTATTTTGCTCAACATAAAAACATAAATATACTGTGCTATTTTTTGCAGCTTTCTTTTCATTCTTCGTTTCTTTCTTTCTTTCTTTTTCTTACAAAAACTAACAACAAAAAACCAACAGCGCGTCGAGTTGCGTTAAGTTTTTCTCTTTCACGTTTTTTTTCTTCTGTTTTTTCTGTTTTTTTTTTTTTTTTTTTTTTGGATTCCATTTTACAAAGAAGTTGCCATTAAAAGTAGTGTGCGCAAAGTGTTTGCCTGAGCATTAATTTTGTGTAGAGTAGTGTGAGAAATATATAAAGTAAAAAAAACATTATATTAATCAAAGGCATATAATAAAACAAATAAACACTAAAATGCTATAGAGCAGACAGAGGAAGAGAAACAGTTCAAGATTGTTGACTAAACTCAATAATAATAAATACATTTCACTCAATAACAATAAGTGTGTGTGTGTGTGTGTGTGTTGTTGGGCGCATAATAAATAATAAATTATGTAATACAAATGTAACCATTTCGAACATAAAAAAAACCATCATGTTTTTTTCTTCACATACATTTTCCTTCATTTCATTTCCTTCTCCCCGATTTTGGTCATGTCTGTGTGTGTGTGTGTGTATATATATATGTATGAATGTGTTTGTTTGTTTGTATATAATTGGTTGTTTGCCCGGTTGTTGTTAGGGCTGGCTGATTAAGCTGATCCTTGCCCCGCACATGTCTGTCGTCTGTCGTCTGCTGTCTGCTGTCTCTTAAAAGCTAATGAAGCACACGTATGCATAATAATGTATCCTTAGATTTGCTTCGATTTTTGGGTTAGGGGATTCACCCTAAGTGGCCCGGCGCTAGCTGGACACCAGCGCATTCTTCTGGGGCAGCTTGAGCAGGCGACGCGTACGAAACTCGTAGACGCGCCGACAGAACATGACCAGCTCCGGATTTGTGTGCTCCGGCACGGTGCGCACCGTAAAACAATTGGTCGTATTGCTGCGTCGCGGCACAATGCTCACATCTTCCACATCCTCCTCGGCGGCGCGCAGTCGTCGCCGATATCTATGCAAAATACAAAATGCAATGATTCAATGAACATCAATGATATCATCCCAGTCCCAGTCCAGCCATCAAACTCACCTGCAATACTCGCTAAATGTCAGCACATAGCACTTGTCCTCTATGCAGGCCACCGAGTTGTGATCGCGATGACGCGACGCGTACACCTCGTCCGGACTGTCGTTGCGCTGGCGGCCCTGGTCCGTGTGCTCGGGCCTGTAGTACCAGAGCAGTGACATCATCATCTCACCTGAAATGATGCGCAAATTATAAGGATCAACGAGACACATATCAAATTTAGGATTAGCTTGCGCTTTAACCACAACTTAAGTTAAGCAGGAAACCCACTCATTGTTTGTTGTGTGGATTGGATTGCTTACCATCCTCGGGATTCTGCCATAGATGGGCCACCTTGGCCACGTAGGGCAGCTCATTGTCCTCGTTTGCCTTGAGCAGGACACAGTCGCGGGTGCGTATGATGTCGCCTTCAACGTGTCGCATGGCCGGATAACATGTGCGCAGCACCAGCGGATCATCGCTCTACAGAGACAGAGCGAGAGAGAGAGAGAGAGAGTAAGAGCGAGAGAGAGAGAGAGAGAGAGAGAGAGAGAGAAAGAGAGAGAGAGAGAGAGCAAGAGAGAGAGAGAGAGATAGTGAATATTTGAATGTTGACTTTTGAGCGTAATTGTGACTCACATTGAGAAACACTGGACCCTGAAAGGCCTTGCCCGCCCACATCCAGCCGTTGTTCCACTTGGGCACCACATTGGCACGCGTCGCCGGCGGCTGTGTATCGTCCAGCTCGTAGCTGACGCCGCCGGGTCGATGACGCTGCTTCTTTCGATTACCGAATTTGCAGCGGGAACGTGCCCGTTTCGTGGTCGACGCATGTCGCACTGTTGCTGTTGCTGTTGCTGTTGGCGTGCTTGTTGTTGCTGTTGCTGTTGCTGCTGGTGACGGTGATGATGATGGTGGTTTCGGTGTTGTTGGTGTTTGTGTTGTTGTTGTTGTCGTTTCGGCCGCCGTTGTTGTTACTGTTGTTGGGGGTATCGACGGTGTCTCAATTGGTCTGTTGGGCATCAGGAACTTGTGTTGCTCATCGGAATGTTGCTGCGGCTGTGTTGCTGCTGCTGCTGCTGTTGTTGTTGTTGTTGTTACTTTTGCTGTTGCTGTCTCTGCGACGGTTGCAACAGCAACTGGCACTGTGGGCGTGGCATTGCATTTTTGCGCCTGCAAATCTGTTGTTTGATACTCATTGTTATTGGTCTCGGCAGCAGCAGCAGTGGTTGCTGTTGCAATTGTTGTTGCGGCAACAGCAACGGTTGCCGCCGCTGTTTTCCGGCTCTTGACCTTGCACTTGAGCTTGAGCGGCTGCTTGCGCGGCTTCTTCGCCGGCGGCGACTCGACGCCCCCTGAGGTAGTCTGCGTCGCCAGTGACGCCAACGTGATGCTAACTGCATTATTTGATCCTGCGCCTGCCAATGGTTTTTTCGTTTCCGACTTGGAGCGCTTCTCGCTAGCCACCAGGGGCAGCGGCAGTGGCAGTGACAATTGCATTTGCGGCTGTGGCGCCAGCAACGGTGAGGGAATTGCCGGCGCATACAGACCAACTGTTGTTGCTGCATTGCGACTGTTGCTGCTGCTGCTGTTCAACTCCGGATCACTGAAATAGCCGCGTGCGGTGAGTGTTGTGTCCAAACTCTCCAGCAGATGCAGTGCAGCAATTGCCTGCTTGCGTGGACGAGCACGCTTTGGCGACGCGCTCGGCGAGCAATTGTTGGCGAGCGCCAATGTTGCTGCTACTGTTGCTGATGCCTCATCACCTGGTGCTGTTCTCGCTGTTACTGCTGTGACTGGTGTTGCTGTTGCTGTTACTGTTGCTCCTGCTGCTGCTGCTGCTGCTGCTGTGGCTGCAGCTGCTTGTTGTTGCTGCTGTTGCTTGCGCTGCTGCAGTTGCTCGCGTCGCTGCAGTTGCTGGCGCTGCGTCAGCTGCATTTGCCGCCGCTTTATATATTTGGCCGGGACGCGTCCGTAGCGACGCACAAACTTGCGACCGGGACAAAGATAATTCTTTGGCTCCGCTTGCTTGATCAGATTCTTATAGCTGTGCGGCTTCGATTTTTTGCCCTGTGCGGCAGATGCAAGCAAATTGATGCGCTTGTTGTTGCTGTTGCTGTTGCTGTTGGTACTGCTGCTGATGCTGGCGGGCGATTGCTGCTGTTGCTGTTCCTGTTGTACTTGCTGTTCCTGCTGCTGCTGCTGCTGCTGCTGATTTAGCTCCAATTCGAGCTCTGGTTCTGTTTTAATGGTTGGCTTCAAGTCCGGCAGTTCGCTGATATGTGTATTGCATGTTGCTGCCGTTAAAGCAGCTGCTGTTGCAGCTGTTGCTGCTGCAGCTAATGCTGCTGCTGTTAGTTCATCGTGCTCAATTTTGATTTTGGTCTCTGCTTTGATTTCTGCTTTAAGTACAAAAGGCAATTGTGGTTCTGCTTCTGACTGCTTGCCGAGAAGCTGCTGCTGTTGTTGCTGTTGCTGCTGCTGCTGTTGTTGCAACTGCTGCTGTTGCTGCTGCTGCTGCTGCAGCAGCAATTGTTGCTGTTTCTGCTGTGCCGCATAGACCATCTCTCTGGCCATGCTCTTGCCAATACGCGCCTTACGCATCACTTGTGGTGGGGGCGGCGTTCCGCCCGTCAAATCATAAGACTCGATATCCTTTGCTTGCTGCTGTTGCAGCTGCTCTGCTTCCTTCTCCTGGTCCTGGTCTTGGTCTTGGTCTTGGTCTTGGTCCTGCTCCTCCAGCAATTTATCGTCGCTGGCACAGTAGCTTTCTGGCGGCGTTGGTGGCGGCATCACATGCGCCTCATATTGAATTTTCATCACCTGGCAGTCGGCGTCGGTTTTGAGCTCTGTTTTGAGCAGCATTTGGCACTGGGTGCCAATGTTATTGGTGGTTGTTGTCGCCAACGTTGCAACGGATGCCACAGATGCCACTGTTGGTGTCGTATTGGTTGCTGCCGTTGCGGTTGTTGTTACCCTTGTCATTGTTGTTGTGTCTCTGCTGTTGTTGATGTTCCCATTTTTAACTGGGCCTCTACTGGTAGTCAGCGCTGATGTTGTTGTTGTTGATGTTGATGTTGATGGTGTTGTTGTTGCTGTTGTTGTTATTGCTGATGCTGATGCTGCTGCTGCTGCTGCTGCTGCTGTTGCTGCTGCTGTTGTTATTGTATTGCTGGCAGGCAAGCTGTTGCCATGCACAGGCATGTTGCTGCTGTTGCTGTTGCTGTTGCAACTGTTGCTCGTCGCACTCAGCAACAAGCTCTTGTTATTGCTGTCGCTGCAGCTCGTTTTGTGCGTGGAACTGTTGCTGTTGCTGTTGCTGCTGCTGCTGCTGTTGCTACCAATATGAGGCCCAGTATGGACGTTTTTTGGACACGATTGTTGCATTGGACATGGACACTGCGGCGGATACTCTGCGATCGATAGAAACAGAAAGAAGAATCGAAATTAACAATTATTAGTAATAATATTATATATCGATATATATCGATAGCACTAATATTGTATTATATTGGGAACCCAAGTTACTGCAGACTATTGGATCGATTATAGCCCTTTCTGAGCCAATAGCTTCTACATAGGATCTAACTACTGGTTGAGGAGTACAGTTGATGTTCCCAACTGAATTATAATAGCCTCTGCCAGGGTATATTTAAATATGCTTCTGGGCATTACAAAGTTACCTATTCACTTTCTGAGTTTGAGGCATATATAAGGCTAATGCCGAACTGTAGATCTGTAGATCTGTTTGACCCTGTATAAGAACCATACTTTTCCTTACCCATATACGGACCCTGAAGGCCGCGTGTGTAGCACTGGCCGGCGGCGCTGCCGCCGCCGGGACTGTAGCCGGCGTAGTAGCCGGGCGGGCCCGGATAGTGATCCAGATGCTGCGGATGCTGATGGGCGGGCACCAGTTGGGTGCCAGCGGGTGCACCAGCTGCGACTGCTGCGGCGGCGGCTGCTGCTGCTGCGGCGGCAGCTGCAATTTGCACCGGCTGCTGCTGTGGCGGTGGCACCGCTTGCGGTTGCCCCTGTGCCAATGTCGACACCGGTGGCGGCTGCTGTTGCTGCTGCTGCTGTTCGTATAAGTCCGGCGGCTGTGGATGCGGATGAGGTGGCGGCGGCGGTCCTGCGTGCTGATAGTATGAATAGCGTCGATAGGCGCCCGGCGGTGGCGGCGGCGGTGGATGTGCAGCGGGATGCGCTTGCGGCGGTGGTGGCGGTGGCGGTCCGCTCTGATAGACCTTGCTGGTGAAATAGGGCTGATAGGCGGGCGGGGAATAGCACATGACCTCGCCCGGATACGGTGTATAATAGTTGGGCGGATACGCCGTCGAATAGTGCATCTGAGCCGCGTGCATGGAACGCTGATACGGCACACCCGGATGACCAGCAGCGGCCGCTGCAGCAGCCGCCACGGCGCCAACACCCGGATATGGATGCTGCTGTTGCTGCTGCTGTTGTTGTTGCAACTGTTGCTGCTGCTGTTGCAGTTGCTGCTGTTGCAGTTGTTGCTGTTGCAGCTGTTGCTGCTGTTGCTGCTGCTGCTGCTGCAACTGTTGTTGTTGTTGCTGCTGCTGCAGCTGTTGCTGAGCAGTCGCTGACTGCTCAAGCTCAACACTTTCTGAGTTTGATGTGGATTCGTCCTCGTTTAGCTTCTTAATTGGCTGCTGTTGCGATGTTGCTGCAGCTGCTGCTGCTGCTGCCGCTGCCGCTGCTGCTGCTTGAGCCTGTGCTGCTGCTGCTGCTTGGGCGGCAGCTGCTGCTGCTGCTGATGTTGCAAGCGGTGGCGGTGGCGCAATCACCTGCGGCGAGATCAGCGGACCCGCCGGCTGATAATAGCCTGCAATTAGAATAAGGCAACCGCCGATCAGTAATCAGTAAATGCATTTCATAAATACAAAATTTTGTTTCATTTTTATCTTTGGTTAGTCGTTAGAGCTGCTTGGTGGCCAGGTGAAATGCGGCAACCAAGCATAAAGTGAAAGTTGGTCGGTTGGTTGGCCAAAAACTAAAACAAACACAAGAGGAAAAAAAAGAAGAAAAAAAAAACCAGTTAAGTGAGCCGCTTGCCCACAGCTGGTCGTGCAACAATCTCAGCCTAGTCGTATAATATCCCGGTTAACAAGCAACTACATTCAACTCCCATCCACTCCCACCCCTCCCTGCGCCCCATCTCCTGGTTTACCTCTTCCCAGCATGTGGGCCGCATACAAAATGTCGCGAAAATGATGCGCCGCATGTTGTTGCAAAAACGTGAACGACTCCGCAATGTTGGCCGCCAGCGCAGCAGCGGCGGCAGCTTCATCAACGCTGGCGGGCAGCGTTGGCATTGTTGTTGGCATTGCCGCCATTGCGGCCAGCGGCGACAGCGACGACGATGCAAACGATGCTGACGATGAGGACACTGATGATTGTGTGGAGCGTTCCGTTTCGCAGGTGCCCGTGCTGCTGCTGGTGCTGCCCACGCTGCTGCAGCGTTGCTGCAATTGATGTTGCTGTAGATATTGTTGTTGTTGTTGCTGTTGTTGTTGCTGCTGATGCTGCTGATGCTGCTGTTGCTGCAAGACAGTCGGTGGCGATGCGCGCAGCGTTTTGAGCAGCTTGCCCGAAAGCGTAGTCGGTGATTTTTTTGTGGTCTCTTTTAGGCGCATCGCGTTTCAGATTTTTATACTTTCTTTTCGATTTTGGTTTTGTTGTTTTTTAGGTATTAAAAATATATATATATATATATATATGCTTATATGTATATATATTTGTTGTTTTGAGTGTATATATATTTGTTGTATATATGTTGTATGTATAATTTGTTGTATATATTTTATGTAATGTCAACAAGGAAGTTTCATTGTTAAGGCAACTATTTTTTTACACATCTATAATCAGTTTTCGTTTGTTATCTTAAAGTTTAATTTAGTTGGGTTTCTTATACGTTGTTTCTTATATGTTGTTGTTATTTTGTTTTGATTATTGCAAGTTTCTCATTTTCATTTGCTGCAAAAAAGACACAATTTCGTTGGTTAAGATGTAGTTGGCTCACACACACACACACAAACACACACACACACACTGACATACACACTCGAGTGGATCGTAAAATTTGCAACAAGGTTGTAAAATCGTTTCATTTCATTTCGGTTTTTTTTATATTTTTTATTATGTTTTTTTTTTGTTGTCGCGCGCGTTTATTTGCTGCGGTTTTTGTTGCAAATTTGCAATACTCGGGTTTTTAGGGCACGTTGGCAATTTCTTTGTTGAACTTTTATGACTGAAAAAGTTAATAAAGTGTTGTATCTCGAAACCGACATCTACTCGCCCCCCATTTGCCACCCTATTGGAAAAAAAAGAACCAGAGGGCAAAATTAGCTTTATCAACTGGTTAACAAGGGCAAGAGTCATCGGTTTGTCAAATTGTTGATCAATTAACCAAAGGACGATGGCCAAAGGGGGGCTTGCGGTCGGTGTAAAGGTTCGTAGATGCATTCAAGCATTATTCGTCAACCGTTGACCGACAGGTGGCGCCCACGTGCAATTGGCTGCACTCCTCTGTTAGCAATACAGTGCGTGTGTGCGTCTGCTTGCCCTTGTGCATTTGTATGTGTGCTTGTGACTGCGTGACTTTATTCTCTCCCACCTCCCACACAGCCGGCAGCAATAGCAGTAAACAGCTGTTGACTTTTCGGCACTCTCTCTCTCTCTCTCTCTCTCTCCCTATCTCTCGCTACCCAGCTTTGCAGTTTGCTCTCTGCACAGAAAAATCGAGAAGCCAAACCCCACAGCACATACACACATACACACAGACACACTACCACGCACACAGCACAGACACCGGCAGAAGTGCCAACAACAACAAATATAACAGTGTCTGCAGTGCAAGGCGTGAACATTGATGCCAAGCGAGCAGCACACAGTGGTAACAGAATTTCACTTCTCAAGTCAAATAAATGTGTGAATAAAATGCCTGTATTCGTTATAAATTGCACTCAATATTATATTGAAAATTGAAACATAATTTTAGTATATATATTTTTTTATATTTATTTATTTTTTTTTGTGTGGTGTTTGGTGAGTTTATGTATGTATATGCATCTTACATATATTTCTATATATTTACAAAAAAAACATACGTCACATTGCGACAAGGTGCAGGGCAACTGATAAAGTTTTATTGCTCACAGTGACTGCATTTTATTGGGATTCTAACCAATGTGCAGCGACAAAGGCAATCGCATGTTGAACAGCACGTAGACAATCGCAGACAGAAGCAGCAACGGCAGAAGCAGCACCAGCAGAAGCAGAAGCAGCACCAGCAGAAGCAGAAGCAGCCGAAGCAGCAACAACTAACAAGTCAAACAACAACGAATCGCTGCCATTCGCTCAGTTTGTGGATCTCATCGCATTTCTGTTAATGCTACTCCCACGATGGCGCTCTCTGTGACGTCACGGCGGCAATGACATTCCAAATAACAATAATGCGCTACTGTTGATGCCGATGATGATGTTCTGTCATCATTTACAACAACAACAACTTCCGTTACATAGAAAGTAAAGCTTTGTGGCGCTCGTAAGCTCAACTTGAAAGCTCCAAAGGGCTCAGCCAAGCAAGAGCGCACTGCACAAACTGACTGACACAGCGGGTGGGGGGTAGGTGATGTTGAACGAAAACTGGCAACGCAAACAGTCGGCCAGTAATCGTAACAGTTGCCTGGCGTGATGGGGAGGGAGATGGGGAAGAGGCGTCGGTATTTTGATGCCGCTGTCAGGAGTTATTATTTTATGTCGGCGCCTGTCAAATGCAACAGAATTATATAAGACAAACAATTTGTGAATGCGTGCAGCACCTGACCTAAAACAAAGGCAGCGAGCCTAGGAGCGAACAAAGGGGAAATAGTGGGAAATTCAGACTTAATACAACAACAACAACAAAATGGTTGCGCGATTTAAGTTACTTAACCGCCCCCCCCCCCCTGCTTTTTAATTCGTTGACCCTGCAAGAAGTAAGGACACAATATGCTATTTCCCAGGCTCTCTCTCTCTCTCTCTCTCTCTCTCTGTCTCTCTCTCTGTGTCGCTTTCTCGATGTCTCTGTGAGTGTGTCAGGCGACAAGGCTGAATATTTAATCAAATTGAGTGGCAGCGTTATTGCAAAATGCCATAACAACAGCTTGCAGCTGTTGTCCAGACAAGTGTCATAATAGTCATGCATAATCGATATCCCCCCGATGAGGAACCCCAATTGTGAGACAGCCATCACATAACTGTATTGTGCGCAAAAATTGCGGGACTCCTCGTTAGGCAATAATGTGTTTAATATGGGCGATAAAAAACACAACTACGAATTGAAAACAAAATACATTCCACACTTCAGCCCAGTTCCAGCCGGCTAATTCGCTGTTTAAAACATGTCAGCGAATAAATGTAATTACAATTAAAAATGTAATTCAATTCATGTAATTAAATGCAATCTGCGTAATCTTTGCGCATTTGTATATAAAATAAATCCAATTAGCGCAGCATTTCAATTTGCACCCGTGCAACTCTCTTTGTTGTTGCGCCGTTTTCAATTATGATGACATCAAAAGTCAGGCAGGCTTTAACCCTTTGCGCATCAGCTGTGTGTTCGTTCGGTAGATGTTAACCCAGTTAGGTAACGTTAATGGGACGATTATGAATCACGTGAGAACTAGTCGAAGACATATAGGAACGTGGTGATGAAAAAACACTTCAAGCGGAAAACACATGTAAGACACCTTCTTTTTTTTCTTCGTTTTTTGTTGACGAGTGAAATGGGCTGTTGGGCAATTAGCAGGCGGCGGGTTTAGCCAATTAAGTGCTGTGATGGGCCTCGCAGGGGCCGCCGTTGCTAGCATCGCAGCCAAAGTGAATAATTACGCACAATTAAATGCACGCAAAGATGTGGCACGCTCATTTCTCACCCCACTATCCCCTCCCCGCCCCCCACCAATCCAACCCCCCTCTCTCCGCATCACTCCCCGCCGCACCCTGCACGTTCAACATACAAACACACAACAGGGTCCCAACCGCAAGCTGCACTGCTGCCGCACCTGTTGCATCGATGGACAACAACAACGACGGCGGTGTGTGAAAGTCACCGCCTTTTGTTGCATCCATGCAACGTTCCTGCCACATGCAGCAGCAGCGACTGCAGCAGCAGCAGACCTGCAGCAGCAGCAGCAGCAGCATAAAAGCAACTTTCTCCTTTCACAGCATCGTATAACAAGCACATTGGAATTTACAGCATGTATCGATCGATCGATCGCGTCTGGGTGAAAGGTAAAAGGGGCTCCAATCCACACAGCACAGATTGCAGCAATCGTGCAACATCACAAGCTGTAACTTTAACTCATCGGATATCAGTGGCCACCTTTAACAAACCTGAGTGCAACACTAAATGATTGGTCAAGGAACTATTGGTCAATATTCGTTGTTAAACTCATTCAGTTTGGCTTTGAATAAGCCAACCAGTTTTAAAGTGGTTTATGGTCAAACTCTGCTGTTAAAACAATATAGTAAAGGACAATTACTTGACCAAAGTTTATATAAATCTGTTCAATTAAATTTCAAAGAAAGCTTTCGATAGTAAATTGAATTTGTCTACATTTGGCCAAGTCAACTACAGTTAATTAAAATAACTATAAATCATTAAGTAATTGAAATTACAAAGATGCATTTGCTATCTTGAGTAAGAGTATTAAAACACAACAATTGGTCTTGCTAACTTCTTGGCCAATAACAATAACAATAACAAGAAAGAACGCCGAAGATTAGCTGCCCTTGCCGACATCTAATTCCATCATTATGAATGCGACCGATAATTATTAT